AGAGGGAGGAGAAAGAAAGGAGCGGGGTGAGGAGTGGAGGAGAGGAAAGGTGTCAGGTCCGAAGGCGAGTATCGGAGTGGACGGGAGAAGGGTAGGGAAGTGACGGAAGGGTGGGGGTGTCATGAGGAGTAGGAGGAGAAGTGAGAGGAGGAGTGGTGTCAGGTCCGAAGGTGAGTATCGGAATGGACGGTGTTGTGGGGACAAGTCCGTGCAGGTCAAACCAACCCTTATCACACATTTCACCCCCTACTGCATCAGGGACTAGGATTGGTGAGTTGTAGTAATAGTAGGAGTTGTAGAGACTGTGGAGGTGGTTCTGACGAGTCCAAGATCGTCGGATTTGATGGAGTGGTTGAGGAGATATGACCTTTCCTTTATTTTCCTCACTATTTTCATTCATTCACGCATGTGACTTTCCTTTTATATTTGTATCGGACTCTTCCATGACAACTGTACAGACAGTTAGTTAGAGGTTAGACAGAGTATCAGCACCATACTCGCAGGACCCACATCTACCCCTGAGAGATAGAGAGACCTACCCCCCCAGACCTGAGCCACGAGTCTAGATTGATAGACCCGTTACAACGGCGGTAGGGTAGGACTCTGGAGGTGGTGAAGATGGGAGTCCGGGAGTCAAATCGGGATCGGGTATGTATGGATATGACAAAGACGTAATAAATGAAATGTAATAAGGAATACAAGGAGATAAGACAGAGGAGGAGGTCAAAGGCCAGAGGCAGAGATGTGACTGGAGTTCCAGAGGTGGAGGTGCGATGGGGTTCTGGTACAGGAGTCTGGAGCCGGAGGTGTGGAGCATCGCAAACTCTGGTCTGGAAGGTACGAGGTTGGGATCGGACCCGGAGTAAACTGGAGTCGGATTGGAGGTAGTGTTGGACGTTGTGTTGGAGCCAGAGGTAGAGTGGGCTCTCAACAACCAACAGGGGGTGGTGGGGGTGGAGGATGTGGAGTTCTGGAGGAGGAGGAGGTCCAGAAACAGGAGCGGAGGTCCAGAGTTGCATGGATATGACACTTATCAGCCATACATAACTATCCACATGGTTTCTCTAACAACAATCTTTTGTTTTATATTTTCTTTTCATTTGTTTTTCCACTTCATTGCCATTACATGCATTTATAAGCAGGGTTGGACTTGACACCATCAGATCACCTGGTCAAATGGTCAAGTGACAGACACTGTGTCAGATTGCAGTCAAGTGTCTCAGGGACTTGTTAGAACTGGGCAAGAGCGGACAATTCTGGAGTGGAACCAGAGACTTAGCAAGGAGGGACCTGTCAGGGGACGCGTGTGCTCGCGCAAGATGCTCCGATAACCTAGTTGTGATTAAAGCCGGGGGAAAGGGATGTCCCCATCTTAGGGTCAGCTATATACATGTAGAGTCCGGCAATAAGGAAACCAAACAGATTGCCGATAGAATCACATGATCATAGAATGTTCCAGAACAATGCTGGAGATGATCCGGGTCACCGGGGCTTAGGTAAGCGGAGTAGATGGGAATTACCGGCATACTTCCCATGCGCATACACGCAGCCGGCATAGGGTCCAGGGTCATTGCTGATCCCTGACAGGACCTTGGCATCAGCGACTCAAGGGGAGTGCTGTGCCATTGCTGTTTGTCCATTTGGTCCTTAATTTCAGAAGCAGTGAGCAGGAAGTCTCTAGGGGGCATTTCTGGTCGATTTTAGACTGAGGGCCTAAAACAAGTATGTACAAGTGCCTGTATATAGTAGAGAGATGAAAGCACAAGGAAATCAAAGGGGGTCCATGTCACGACCGACAAATCCCGGGGCTCCGTCAGCGGCGAACCAATGCCGATAGGCGAATCCGCCGACCCGAAACCCATCCTAACCAGCCCCCAACCCCATGTCTGGCCCCCTGCCTTACTGTGTGAGACTTGGCCAAGAATCAGAACCTAGACCCTGCCGGTATTCCGACCTTACCTCCAGTTCCTGAGCCCTTGGCACTCCTGGCATTCAGTCACGCCTGCCTTGTCTCCATCTGAACCACACTCATCGCTTCCCGCTATGTGGTCACAGCCATGCCCCGCTTCCGTGCATTCCGCACCCTCTGCCCACTCCGCACCCTCTGCCCACCTCTGTACCTCTGTTGGCCTTCATGCTGTCCTTGTGTGACAGTGCTGGCAGATCAACCTCTGTTCGCGGACTTGTGTCGGCACCACACCGACCCCGCTTATTTGCGGACTTGTATCGGCGCCGCGCACTGACCTCCGCTTTCCCTCTGGCCATTTGTCACTTGGCAGCTTATCATTCATTCCTTGCCGAGTGCCATTTATTGTTTGCTTCCCTGCCAATATCGGCATTTGATCCCCTCTTTATTGGCACTAGGTTATTGATCTCATTCAGTTATTCATCAATAACCCTTGCCACTTATTGTTTAGTGATCTGTTCCTCGTTTCCAGTTCCCGGGCTCTTGTCCTTATTTAGTTTGACAATCCCCGCTTATCTCCGCGCCGGACCGCACCGGACTGACCGGCCTTTCTATATTCCCTCTTGCCTATTTATATACCTTGTAAATACTTTTGGGGACCTCAGTCTGAAATCAACTAGAGTACCCCCCCTGTCTGATCTGAGTCTCTCCTTCTGCAAAGGGGGCTTCCCCCCCTCTGAGTCCGTGCTCGCAGAGTCCGCGCTCCTCCTACAGGTCCGCTCCGCCCGCAAGTCTTGTTTGAAGTCCGCTGTGAGTGTCAATCCGTAAATATGGGATCTCCCCCAAACGTCAAGCTCAGGGCACAGCGCTCCACCTGAGTCGCTGAGGCCGCGATCCCACTCTGCTAACCTTGAACAGCGCTTCCGGATGCGCCGCATATTTCCGCCCGCATATCCGTGCGTGCGCGCTCCAACAGACCTCTGCCACCATCTCCGACACCGACAATATCCCAGCCTCTGACAATAATCCCGTCTCTGACAGTCCAAAACGGAACAAAGGCATTGTAATGGGTCTATTGCCTAGACTCAAGACAGAGAGAAGGGGGAGGGTGGTAGTGTGCGTGGGTGTGGTTCATGGGGCCGGGTTTTGGTCCGTGGGTGCTACTGAGTCTGCAAAAACCTCAAACAAACACTCACCTATGTCTCTCTTGGATGTCAAGGCTGAGTATTATGATGTGAGGGGTCTTAGACGTGAGCAACTAGCTCAGAGGGGGCGTTGGCATCTTTGCCACTTGGATGTAACTTCTGCTTGTCCCTTCACGGGTCTATTCAATACTAACTTGTTATGTACAAGCTGTTATCTATTTTATATGAGTTGGAAACGGAATGAATGGAATGGGGGAATGTAAACGGGCCGTTAGGCCACCGTAAATGATGGATATCCAATTGGGAACAAAGAAACAATAAAAGAAATATGAATGAATGGGGAATATAGCAACCTCCTCGTCTCCAGCTTTCCAACGAGCCCTCATTCATCCCAATTGGTGCAGTACTTCTTGAGATGTGGCCATTGACAGGTGCTGTCAAGACCACGTGAGGCTATACACCGTGCTGAGCCATCCGAATATGGGGTTGCCATTCTGGGAAGTGCTCCAGGGGTAAAGGAGGAAGGTATATCATCACCAATGGGTAGAAAAATGGCTGGGTTGTATGTGTGGTTATGGAGATCTGGAGAGGGGGTGAAATTGGTGGCGTGGTTGGGCATGGGAATTTGGCTTGGGGCTGTTGGGAATGATGGGGAAAATAAGGAAAAATATGGAGTGAGTGTATGGAGTGTTGAATAGTGATAAAATGAGTATCTGGAGCGTCAGCGGATATGTACTGCGTGTTAGTGACCAAATTCCGCAGAATCCGACTTTTTGCGGTACACGGAGTTGTCCCCACAACAGCGTCCAAACAGAGACAAAGGGATGATGGAAGTGGGGCGGTACCGAAGGTCATGGGTCAGACTCTGTGGTACATCCGAAAGGAGATAGGGAGGGCAAAGCCCAGAGGGGCAGGAGGATGAGGTGAAGTGGGGATGATGACTAACTGGCTAAAATGGAAGGAAGCAGTAGTCCAAATAAGGATGAGGGGAAATCATGAAAGATACATTACAAGCAGCAAAAGTGCCGAGTATGGTCCGTGGAGCTCAGAGGTTGCGGAGCTTACAGAGGTTGCAGAGGCGGGGTTGGAAGTCTGAGGAATGTTGGCAATGGTGTTTACATAGAATGAGATCACCAATGCAGCTGAGGTGGAGTCAAAGTCCGAGGTCAGAACTATGACGGAATCTCGGAGCGAAGGTATGGGCGGTGTCTGAGTATGAGGTATGGGGCGGTGGTGGAAGGTCGTAACTTGGCGGAGGTTTGGTGGAAGAGGAACGGAAGGAGAGGAGTGAGGAGGAGAGTGAGAAGAGGAGTAAGAGTGTCATATCCATCCCCGGCCATCGACTTCCGGTTCCTCCGATCCCTCCGGTATAACTCTGCTCCTCCCTCACTAACCTCGGAGCTCCCGTATTCCGCAATCCTCTCGGTACCCCTCGATGGTCACCACCCCCTCATTTCAATTTATTACCTACGCCTCCCTAAGTACGGAGCCCCGAAGACTTCCGGACAGCTCCGACGTCTGCTAGCGCACCCCCACCTCCGCTGGGCAATACACTCGCCTGCCCTGCAGAGCCCACCTTCGGGCCTATCCCTCCTTTCCGTTTCTGGGTTATTGCCTGCCTTTCCACTAACCCCGCAACCCGACTTGTCAGTAAAATTCAGTTGGCTAATGTTTAAACTCCGTTAGCTCTGCTCCATTCGGCTCCGCCAATTGCGGACCCATCTTCGCTGTAACCATATATATATATCCCACTTGTACATAGGTTACACCCCAGTAGAAAAATCAACTAGAGTTACCCCCCCTAGGTTCTAATTGCCAGTCAGTAAGTTAGGGCACGGACGTGTCACTAGGCACAGCGCTCTTGGCAGAAGTCGCTGAGGCCAAAGCCCTCCGCTACGGAGACATTCCTTCGTCTCGAATCTGGTCTCTGACAAAGAGGAGGGATGATGTCAGGTCCGAAGGTGAATATCAGAGCGGACAGAGGTAGGGTAGGAGAGGGTCTTGAGGGGTGAGGAGGAGGAGTGAGGAGGAGTGTTGTTTGGTCCAAAGGTGGGTGTGGACAGGGATAGGGTAGGACTCTGGAGGTGATGAAGTGGAGGGTCCAGGAGTCGGATTAGGATCGGGTATGTATGGATATGACAGGACTAATATATTGGTCAAAACCAATACATTTGTGAGATGTCTAAACATGTGACCAAAAACTGAGCCCCAACGTTTGTGTCTTATTGTATTGGAATTGGCCACACTCATTAGCCCTGTCCTGTGACCTGACCCAAACTCGAGTCCAGGTCTAGATTCATATCTCTTGTGACCAAATCCTGCATCTCCAACTCTAATGCCAGGTTTTGTGCACCTTGGAACCAGTAATGATTCCATGGCCCATCCAGGGTCATGTTAAAAATGTCGCATATCATTTTACCTTGTAAACTTGTCCACTAATTTAGGTTTAAATATCAATGGTAGAGCCTTAGCAAAAAGGGACCTAGGAAGTACTTACATGCTGAGAGTCATGCAAGTTATGGTATGCTGGATAGCCAGCATCCAAATCCTCATTGAGATTGTCCAGAAGATTGGCCTGGAATGACAGATATGAATGGTTGACATTGTCAGGAATTGAAGATGGGTGTCCAAGCTCAGGCTCTAGGCAACTTCCTGTTGGGTCACAGTCATTTGCTGATGGAGAATAGCCAAATGTCAGGGATCAACAATGACCCTGGACCCTATGCCAGCTGCGCATATGTGCATGGGAAGTATGCTGGCAATTCCTGTCTACTCTGCTTACCTAAGCCCTGGTGGCCCAGATCATCTCCGGCATTGTTCTGGAACATTCTATGATCATGTGATTCTATCAGCAATCTGTTTGGTTTCCCTATTGCCTGTCAGAAGATGGATGGATTTCTGTTGGAGTTGGGGTTGGAGGTTTTGGCAGACTTCTGTTGGAGCACACACCATGGATGTGTGGGCAGAAATATGTGGCATGTCCGGAAGTGCTGTGCCCTGAGCTTGACATCTGGGGGAGATCCCTTATTTATGAGCTGACACTCTGTCAGAGGATGACTCACAGGTCCCCATGGCCCACAACCCTAAAGCAGCCCTGTCCAGGGCACACTGCTGCTGTGGGTAAGAAGGTGAGAAGGAAGCTAACTTCTCACCTTCCCACAGTGGCCCAATATAATGAAAGCTTCCGGAGATATCCAGAAGTCACACATCAGCAAACTTGGTAGGGAGCTCTTGGAGCTCTCAGAGCTCTCAGAGCTCTGTGAGCAAATTGAGTCTTTTTGCTGTGCACCCTCTACACATTGGGTGGAGAAAATTAAATGTTTGAATGATTTTATTCTCCTAAGGATGCAGAAGTGCAAAGATAATATGTATATATATGTGTGTAAAATGGCCATTGTCATTGCTCTGAAAGCTCTATGAGCTCAGTGGGCTCATAGAGCTCATATACCTTTTGTGTTTACTAAAATCAGCACCTTATTTTTTTATTGCTATTTACAAAATTTGAGGAAAACTCTGAAATTCAAAAATTTGCACTTTATCTTTCATCTCATTTCTTGCTCAAAACTCAACCAATTCTGATGATTCTATGTGAATTGGAAAGCACCAAAGTGTGGCAATGTAACCATGCATGTTATGTAGGGTATAAATCAGTTTTAACAAAGTGTTCCAAATGAAGTAAATTGAAAATACCACCCAATAAAGCAAACAAAAAGCTGATGTATTCTTCAGATATCATCCAAGCCTTTGACACCAAATTTCCCATGGTCAAAAAGCCATGGTTATTTGGCTCACTGTCAGGGCCTGGCCCTCGTTCCATGATGGGCCTAGGGGGATCCTCCTAGTCACTGGGATATCTAGTCCCAGTCCGAGATCCTCAAACTCACTGAGGGGGCTAGCCCCAGCCTTCACAGGAAATGAGTTGAGAAGAAGGGTAACCTTCTCAACCTCCTGTGAAGCTGCTACAAATGGGAGCCAGGAACTATACAGTTTTCAGCTCTTTGCCGACTTTCCATAAATGGCACCCCCCCATGGGAAGATTCTGGGTGAGCTGCTCACCCAGAAAGTTCCCACGGTTGTGGCTGTGATGGTTTCTGGGTGAGTAACTCGCCCAGAACTTTCCCATGGGTCTGCATGTGTGTGGGATTGTGGAATAGTGAGGGGCTGTGCCCTGACACTCACCAAAACATGGTGGGAGACTTTTCTAACACTGAAACATACATTGCTACATTGCCCCACTTTGGCACTTTCCAATGCACATTGAATTATCAAAAAAGTGAATTAATTTTTTTCCAATTATTCCTAATTTCCTGAAATATCTCTCCCTAACTTATCTGAAAATTTGTGATTTTCCCCTGATTTTTTGGACATTCTCCTTTTTTAGAAAGTCCCCCATTTTCTGATTTTCCTTAATTTTCCCCGACTTTTTTTCAAGTTTTTAGAAACCCCCCAGTTCCCCCTCATTTTCCTCCCATTTTCCCCTTCATCCCCCCCTCAATTCCCCCCCTCATTCCCCCTAATTCCCTCCTCAATTCCCCCCATCCCCCTTCAATTTTCCCCTCATTTCCCCCTCATTGCCCCCTCCAAATGTCACCCCATTCCCCCCCTCCATTTTCCCCTCATTTTCCCCTCTTCAATTTTCCCCTCATTCCCCCCCAATTCCCCCCCCTCAATTCCCCCCTCATTCCCCCCCATTCCCCCCCCATTTCCCCACTCATTTTCCCACTCATTTTCCCGCATTTTCCCTAAGTAATTTCAGATTAACTGCATTTATATCCCTAAATTTGGTCTATATATTGATTGGGCTACATACCCTTGGTGTGTGGTGCCTCATTGGTGCTGAAAGTTAAGCTGAGTTTGTTCAGTCCCTTGTATGGTAGGGACTTGGCTATGGCTAGTCACATGATGCCATAGTCAATGCTTTTAAATTTAAATTTTAATATCAGGTAAATTAAACACTCAGGGAGCTCATATAGATAATAGTCCCCTGTGTGCAAATATAGCTCTATGAGCTCTATGAGCTCTCAGGCCTCCGCATCCAGGTTTGCTGATGCATGAGGCCCAAGACCCGGGGCCTGGGGATCCGGCCACATGGAGTGTCCAGCACAGGGCATGTGCAGGGGGTGCAACGGCTGGGTGTGTGTTGTAGGCAGGATAATCACCCACACACAGACTCGGCTTGGATACCCGCTTCCACAACTATAAAACCCCTTTCATTCATGCGACAACTCGATACGAATTTGGTATCTAAAAATAGGGCTAATTCCTATGATCCCAACGATACCAAAAACATCGCAATTGGTGGAGATTTGACGGAGTTCCGTGTTGGAGAAGTTAGGCATGGCAGGTCACGAGTATGTGTGGGTGTGGGAATCTCAGCAGCAACCCAGAATTCCAGCCTCACTCGTTCCCACGGCGTCTAATAAATTGGTAAAAATGCTTATCGGCTGCATGAGAGTTATCTCCGGCTTCATTTCCAATTTCGGCTCTGTCAGGATCCGGACCCCAGCTGGGAGTGGCCAGAGGGCGAGGCCGGGTGTGGAAGCTGGGGTACTCTCCCCAGGTGCTAACTCCTCGAAGTCGCTGAGGGGACTGGCCTCAGCCTTCACAGGGAATGAGCTGGTATTCATTGAAAAGCGGGTAAGTACACTTGCCTTCACAGGGAATGAGCTGAGAAGAAGGGTAAGCTTCTCAGCCCCCTGTGAGGCCGACACAAAAGGACCCTAGGAACTATACAGTTCCCGCTTGCTGCCGACTTTCCATAACGGGTGTGACCCGTGGGAAAGTTCTGGGCGAGCTGCTCGCCCAGAATGTTCCCACGGTTGTGGCTGTACATTTCTGGGCAAGTCGCTCGCCCAGAACGTTCCCACGGGTTCGCGCGTGCGCGTCATTATGTGAAACAGTGGGGGGAAGGATAAGGGGAAATGGGGAAATGTGGAGAGAGGGTGGTTAGGAGAAGGGTGAGGGTGAGTGGGGTCAAGGGCTGTGCCCTGACAGGCTCTTAATTCCGTAAATCCGTTGAGAAATCGTTTATTTTCATATTTTGCCATCATTTCAGTTATTGATTGATATTCGTTGATTACCCTTTTTTATTATTTCGCCTAATAAGGTACCCAGGTGCCATATGGTACCAATATTCCCCATCTATTCTTTCTAAAAATAATTATTAGATATAATCCTGTACATACCGGATTTTTGAAAAGAAGTTCTCCCCTCCCCCAAAAATTCTCTAAGGTGCTAGGATACGCTAGAGTTGGTGTGAGTGAGTGGAATTCCAACAGTAGGAATAAGGGCAACAATCTAGCCTGCAACGAGTGGGTAGTGGATTTGTTGAGCCTGGACCTTGCGGAAATCCTGGAGAACCCACTACGGAGTTTAAGGATCGAGAGTATAGTGAGTTTAGTGGAGAAAGTAGAGTTTTGGGAGTTTGGCCCCCACAAGCTTAGTCAGCATAGAGAGCTGCGAGCCCTCTTTCAGCATGCAGATGTGGGTGCAAGTGCAGGTGTGGGTTAGGTCAGGGTGTATGCCCTGACACACTCACAGTGAACTTCAAACAAGACTTGCAGACGGAGTGGGCCCATAGGAGGAGTATGGACTCTGTGAGCATGGACTCAGAGGGGGGGAAGCCCCCTTTGCAGAAGGAGGGACTCGGACCAGATGGGGGGGTATTCTAGTTGATTTCAGACTGAGGTCCCCGAAAGTATTTACAAGATATAAATAGGAAAGAGGAAATATAGAAGGGCCGGTTGGTCCGGCATGGTCCGGTGCGGAATGAGCAGGGATTGTCAAACTAAAGGACCAATAACCTAGTGTCAATAAAAGTGGATCAAACACTGATATTGGCAACTTAAGTGAATGAGTGGATAAACATAATAGGCACTTGGCAAGGAATGAATGTATGCTGCCAAGTGGCAAGAGGCCAAAGGAAAAGCGGGGTCAGTGCATGGCACCAACACAAGTCCGCGAAATGGGATGCAGGAATCAGCGGTGCTGATAAGTCCGCAGACAGAGGGTGGTCCATCAGTGCTGTCACAAACAAGGACAGCATGATGGCCAGCAAAGGTTCGGAGGGGAGTGTTGACCTGACCACAGGGTGTGGAGGGCAACCAGGAATGGCAGAGGTGCAGAGGGTGCAGAGATGGGCAGAGGTCCAGATGCTGGCGAGGTCCAGATGTGGAAGATGCAGAGAATACAGAAGATGCCAAATATGCAGAGGATGCAGAGGAGGCAGGGATGTGAGACTGAGCTGTGCTATAAGCCTAGGAGGAACCAGAGGGACTGGATGCCAGGAGCACCAAAGGCTCAGGAACTGGAGGTGAAGTTGGATGCCGGCAGGGTCCAGGGTCTGATTGTTGGCCAAGTCTCACTCAATGGGACAGGGGGCCAGACATCGGGTTGGGGGCTGGTTAGGATGGGTTTCAGGTTGGCAGATTCGCCTATCGGCATTGATTCGCCACTGATGGAGCCCCGGGATTTGTCAGTCATGACATTACCAGACTCTACATGTATATAGCTGACTCTAAGATGGGGACATTCCTTTCCCCAGCTTTAATCACAACTAGGTTATCAGAGCAACCTGTGCAAGCACATGCATCCCCTGACACCAAATGAATGTCGGATGCGCTTCCAGTGTGTCCCTTCAATCTAACTTGACAGCAGAGATTTTGACCATTTTTTCGACAGATAATCAATTTCGAGAAGGGTCTTTGGTGTCACCAGTGATAGAGAAGAAGTGCTCACAACTGGTTGCAAAACTTGCAATCTGTCATGACTGACAAATCCTGGGGCTCCATCAGTGGCAAATCAATGCCGATAGGCGAATCTGCCGACC